GCAAAAATAATTTAGAAAACAGGATGTTTGACATTGTAATGTAATATGTCCGAAAGAACATTTTTAGAAAATTAAGGAAATGCACTAATCCAGTCAAATTTTGAAAAGAATTCCTGGCACAAAAATGTAATCCTCTGCTTTCTTTTTCACCATGTCATAAGAATGTACCATTCTTAGGGGGAAGAAAGACATGTACACGAAACACTGCATGAAGCTAAACGTTTCTTAAATGTGGCTGATTTCCACTGAGGCTGTTGATTTAGCATTGTCATCCTTAAACAGAGAATGCAGAATTTCATGTCCTTAGTTCACTTAGTTAAGACGAAAAAAAAGCAAGGCATGGATATTTAATCTTGCTCCAGTTTACTTATGTGACAAACTCTTTGCCATAACTGTAGTGGGGGTGAGACAGCATCTAAACGCATTCATTTTGAAGAAGTCAGCTCAGAATAATGCTCCTGTGTAATAGATTTAAATTACTGCTATAACTATTTTAAGTGTTAAGTAAATTCTGTTTCAAAATCTAAAGTTTGTGTTTAGTCTTGCCTTTTTCTGCTTGCTGTGTCACAGCGTAGGATTCTGGTCCCCTGATCACTCAAATCAGCACTGGTCACAACAAGTGTGGCTTGCTCCTGCTGCACAGCCATATTTCTTCTGCACAGAAATGATATGTGTTCATGGATATAACTATGGATGTGTCATTGGTGATAGCGTACAAATCTGGGCTGAGGCATACCCCATAACCAAGGAAGCAATGAGCACACTTTGGTAATATAAATTCCTTCAGCATCCAGTCTACTGTTAAAAGATCCATGAAAAAAAAAAAAAAAAAACCACAGTGAAATAAAGCAAACTCATAGATTTAAATTTGCAACTAGGAGTCTGCATTTCTACTGGAAAATTTTAGGAAGACCAAAAACTGAAAGTGGTTGAAAAAAATGTTTTGCTTTCTTCTGTTTTCAATTCTTCCTAAAAGTAAAACCCAGAAATACATTTGTAACAAAATCTTTGTACAAGTATCTGACAATGAATTGGCAAAGACCATTACCAAAAGATATACTGTCTATACAAAATGAACTCAACGTATTTATATGCATGAATTATGACACAGGCTCCTCCTAGCCTAAGTAACAGAAATGATGCCATTCTATGAATGATAATGTTACAACTTTTTGCACTTGTTGAAATGAGGATGTTAAATGAGGTAGTAGACAGCAAGTATGTGCTGCTTAGGGAAACTGAAATCCACTTCTGTGTTTGAGGAGTTCTGCAATTTGGATGATAGTCACAGGTTAACTCCAGGTACATCAGAACAAATGATAAATACATACCTTTACTTTGACAGCAACTATACTGTAATACAAACACTATTAAAATATAGAGTATTACTAAAAATTCAGGTCCTAGTAGTAGTCCTCTATCAGTAATTTGTTTACTTTGTTGCAATTTTACAGATATAATAATTAAAATACCTCATAACATTGTGAAAAATAGCTAGGAGAAATATTAATTGAGGTCTACGTACTGAGATCACCCTAGAAGTATCATGAAAGCAGTAATAATTTCCCGAGTAAGAATAACATACACCAGTCTCTAATAGCTACAGTCTAAACTGAAAAGATAAAAAGAAATACTATGGTCTAATGAATCAAAAAAAGTAGGAATATAGGATGAGAAATGTAACTAAACATCATAGTGTGTTATATCAACACAAGTTAAGAATATGCTCTTGATTTTGCAACTCTATTAAAAGATATTTTAATTGACTTTAGTCCATGCTTATCGTTTTATGGATGTATGATTTTCTAAACATGTAATTTTAGAACTGACACAAAGAATGAAGAAAATCCACCATATAGCATGTCATTGACACTCATGATTCACTGAAATATCTGCACCTTAAATTTCCCAGCAGAGGCTTCAACACCTTAAGGTACTTCTCAGAAGACAAAAACTCATAACTGCCATGCCAACAAGCTCTAAAATTTTAATTACCACCTGAACACAGAGGTCTTGTGACACACAGAGGATTACTGAAGCACCTTTGTGGTTCTAGGAACATTTTTAGCTACTCCACCCTTCTCCTTCTTCCTTTTCTTCTATCCGCCCCCAACTTCTCACTGAATTTTCTCTTCCTCCGTGTTACTTTAATACAGCTCATCCTTTGTCTTCCTCTCTTCCTGTCCCTCACCCTTCATTCTCAGCACTCACCCCTTGGCATGCTCCTCCTTCCCTTTTCTGTCAGGGCATGGGAAGGAGCAGTTTCCTAGCTCTCAGCTGCAATGCGCTCTGCTCCTCTTCAGTAGCTACAGCTGTGAGATGAAGCAACTGCAGGGGAAAGTCCTGCTTATTTCCATCCCTAGTAAATACTCGGCCATTCTGGGATGATAGAGCTTTGCCATCCTGTAAACACATTGCCTTTAGAAGAGGATAAAACTTTCTCTTGGAAGACAATAGTTTTAGCAGCATAATGAGCACGAATGTGTGATTAGATCTTCAGCATTGCCTGATGTGGCCAAGTTTGATCAGTTTTCCATAAGGATGGAAAAGCCCTTCGTGTCATCCTCCTCATGACATTCAAACACCAAAGGATGGAGATGCTAGGACTTGTCAATGACATGACTCTAACAATTTTAGAATTGGCAGTAACAATTTTAGAAGAATTGGCAAGACAGCTAATTTCTCCTACATCTTCTCAGAAACCTTGGAATTATTTTGGTGAGAATGCTTAGGGGAAAAAAAAAATAGTGAGCTTAGTTTTGACAACTATATTAAATAGTCAGAACATCTGACAAACAGCTGTCATCAACCAAACTTTAATTTAGTTATGACACAAACCCACACTACTTACAATGCATCCACTGACAAGCACAAACGAAGAATTTCAGAATTATTCTTTAAAACTGAGACACCTGGGTGCATTGTGGTTCTTTGAACAGACTTATAAGCAACCTAATATCACCTTCAGATTAAATATGCCTGATCCATGTTTCTTTTGAAGTGGGCGGCCACAGCACTGAACTCTTCATGCCATGGCTTAGAAAGACATGCAGTGTTTCTGGAAACAAAACTTGATATCTTCCAAAAAAAAACCAGGAATGATGCATTTAATTCTCCTGGGTGGATTAATATTTTCCTTCAGAATGAGCAGCAACTCTGTGTTTTCCTTTACTTATTCTCTCTCTCTTTAATCCATACATTATCCTGAAGTATATCAAGTGAATAAAACAAGACTCTTTAAGACTTCCTCTCATTCTTAATTTAACACTTCCAAGTGTGAAAAAAAAACAGTACCTTTTTTTCTAGTTCCTTGTGGAAAAAGAAAAATACACCCTCCCTCCTAGAAAAAGCAATGATAAAATCTGGTAATTCTCTCTCCTTTGGCTTTTCAGTTACACTGCAGCTTTTCAAATCAAGATTTATGTGCCGGTTTATATCTGTTGGTTTTTTTCCCCCTACAGGGATATAGGTGGATAAGTTTGGATAGCAAACTGTAACCCTCAAGCCAAACTGAAAGGTTTATAAAGTTGCTAATAAAAGTTTGGGTCAGGGCCTAAATATCAATCATCTATTCTTTGTCTTTTTGAACGAGCTCAGGCATTTTCACAGCCACTCCCAGCAGGTCTCTGCCACTATTTTAAACTAAGATTTTAGGTTGTATTTTTTTAATTTTTTCCCCTGCGTTGAACTCAATAATTTTTCTTTCCCACTCTTCTTACCTGTCAAATGCATCCATCAGGATTTTGCCAAAGGCTATCTGCTTTTGAAGTCAAGAGGAATTCACTAATCATGAGTGTCAAATCCACAATAAATGCCATCACCATATGGTATATGCTGCTATTGGGAATTATCTCAAAAAGGCCTAGCTGTGAAAAGTCTGGCTATATGTTAGGGTTCTTTTTTTTTTTACTGCTAACATTCATAACTCATGTCAGGTCTTTCAGTTTCTGTATTCATTGGCTTAAGTGAGTGTAACTGTTTCCTGAATTTATAAAATGTTGTCAAGATCTCTTGATCTCTATTCCACTGTCTCTCTTTCAAAAAAAAACATTCAAACACAGATATACCCAATGTAATTCTATACATAGTGGTATACACATCTAACAAAAGAGAAGCTAGTGTTTCATTATGCTTACTCAATAAATTCTTGAGAGTATTAGAGCTCATGATAAGCATATCATAACCACCGATGAAGGCTTTACAGCCTCCTGTACAGTCAGACCATCCCAAATGTGATACCACAATGCACACAAAGACCTATGTTAGAAAAACTGAGAACAGAATGAGCTCCCACAAGGTCAGGGTGCTGACATAGCTGAAAAAATGACTATCTGGAGAGCATTTGCATTAGCTAAAGAAGATCAGTAAAAAAAGTGATAAATCTCCATGCCTTTTGAAAGCTGTGGAAATGTACTATGCAATCAAAGCAACAAGAAATCTCCTTTCTGTAAGAATATGACCATAAAGGAATTTTCTTTAAATGTGTGTTTAAACCCCCCAATTTTCTCAACATTCTCATCAAGCAGCATAGATAAGATTAAGAAATTCCCAGAAAAGCAAGCATTGTGATACAATAAGGTTAAAAGAAAGCACTTAATGAGTTTCACATACCAATTGAAGAATAGAGAAAAAATGATTACAAGTTAGGTGCCACTTGGAACACTTGAGGTACTTTCCCTGATGCTCTAGAAAAGTGTTGATGTTCCCCAAATCCCATCTCATCCCCTTGTGGGACACCAGTGGGTCTCATCTTGTTTCAAGTAGCACTAGAAGTCTATGCTTAGACAATGACTCTCCCATAACTTATGTACAGTATATGAATAACCTTTAGGAGAAAACTGAAATGGGTAAAATTCATCCATACTCAAGGTTTTTGCCATGTGTTTCTGGAAACTGTGACAAATGTGTTTCATTTGCCTACTTAGTAACAGTAATGAACTGCTGGCAACATCACATAAAAAGAAAAGTTGCAGAATCAGAAAAAAAATGCTGAAAAGTTTACCTTTATAGGAAAGTTTGAGTCTTGGGATATTTTGTTTTGACGTTCCAGTGACGGGAAGGAACAGCATTGCTAAAGATAACAGACTGCAGGCATTCGGTACTTGGGAAGCTCTCATTTTGCTCTCTTCTTATGCACTTTTTGCACTACCGTGAAATATCTCCGCACTCTTCAAACAATCCAAGTTTAATCTGGAAGCAAAAATAAAACATCTGTAGATCTTTTTCATTATCATATAAATAATATTTCTGAAAATAAGCCAGACCCAACCAGCTTAAGTAACTCATTTAGCACATTTGCTACAGAAGTTTATTGTTTTATTTTTCTCTAGTATAAATCAAAATCAGTTTCTTTAATACCACATTTACTTGAAGGTCGGGAAAATATGTAAGATTTTCAAAGAACAATGTCTAACATAGCTGCAGTCTAAACAAAAAATTAATTCAGTGTCAATGAAAGAATATTTGCCATTCAAATACGATTGTGCATCTCATTAGTTTATACAGCTCCATTTGATATCATGCTGTTTTACACCTCATTCTTTATCTCAGTATAAAAGCTATTATATGTTTATCCTATGGCTAGAATAAGTTGCTGGATCACAGATACCAAGAGATAAAAATCTGAGTTAACAGTAAGGAGATATCCATCATAAATTTTCATAAATAAACTAAGAAAATTGCAGTGTTTTTTCCAAATAAAGTTTGAAAAGAGAAAAAAGTCAGCACTGCTGATGGACTTAAACGTCCTTTTCAGTACAATATTTTCAGCAGAATAACTGCCTCAATTCACCCACAAAATGTCCTATAAACTTTAATGAGTAGTTCATGCTGAGGTCAATAGGCTGATATGGGACTGTGTTAATACAGGGCGCAACTAAGCCAGCTTTGCAACACTTTTCACTTAATAACAGTCATTCATATTCCATAAATCTTAAAGTGTTTTACAAAAGAAAGCAATTATCACTGTCCTTATTTTCCCTAGACAAGACTGCAACCATAAAACTGTAACAAACTTATTTCCTACAGGTCACACAGCCACCTCAGTAGCTGCACAGAAAGCAGCAACAGTTTTCCTGGAGTCGAGTCTTGTTTGGTACCTGATTTTGAAGGATCCCTTTTGCCCAGTAAATCTTTTTTTTTCCTAAGGAATTACTAAGGAAATGACATCTTGATTTCTCAAGGCAGAAGTTGATGGTTAATAAATCATAGAGGTCAGAACACGAAAATATTTGTCAGGGCAGATTCCTCCTCCTGCAAGTGCAATATCAGAAGTCAGAGGAAGACATCCAGGGAAATGACAAGTTTGAGTGATGCTGTAAATCAAAGTATAAGGGAATGTCATGGCTAGTAACAAGATTAATGGCTCATGATTTTTCATCAGAATTATATTCTGAAAGGTACCAAAGCCTTTTGCACAAAAATAAGTGGAAAGACTCCTTGTGAGCCCATGAGGGACCCAGCACAGCTCAGCCACCCCAAGTAACCCCAAATGTCTTGCACTTCATCTAGCTGCAGAGCCCCTTCTGCATGCTGCAGAGGAATCCAGAATCAATTCAGTACCTTATGAGGTAGCAGGTAGTACTACCTTCCTTGCACAAAGGGACTGGAAAGAAGACATCTTTAGTTCTCTTTGCCTAGGGAAACCTTTCACAAATGAAGCTGTGGCTTTCTGAGCTTCCAGCACTTCTGCCAATGCTAAAGGACAAGGGAGTGTACAGGAAGGCTGTGATGGGGAAAGAGAAAAGGGAACAGAGTTGAAAAACGCCTGTAGCGTCCTTCCTACGAAGAACATTAAGCCTCTTTCTTCTCAATCCCTTCCTCAACATTTATATTCTGTGTCTGAATGCAATACTTTTGGCCAAGTGCCACCACACATTCGTGAGATGACACAAAAAGAAAGCAAAACAAATTTGAAATGTCTTTGTTTTCTATCTTTCTATTCTTTTTTACTAGACTACAGGATCCTGAAAGATGACAGCCCTTACTTCTTCCATGCTGGTACACTTGTTTGTGGTGGGACTAAAACTAACATTAACTCTTGCTGGGTCATATGGTGAAAAGGGGGAAAAGAAGGAGAGGAGAAAGGGAAAGGATCATATTAAGATGAGACACACCAGTCCTATTCATCTTCTGCAGGATGACAGAGACAAACCACACTTCAAAAATAAGCAATTAACAGGGAGTCAATCTCACTGCAGGTATGCTGAGATATTGTGGCTTGGGGGTTTGGGTCACAGCCAACAGGAGTCACACCAGAGAATTTGGGGCTCATCTTTTCAAGGTGAAATACAATGAAGTAAAAAAAAAAAAGCCATTGGTAGAAAAAAAGTTGTTGACCAAACACACTGTACTGTTTGGTTGGAGACTGCATTTGGCCTTTTGGTCATAGGGAAATTCACTTTTTCATTCAGTGTTCTGCTAATGGAAATCTTTTTTTTTCTTTTTCTTTTTTTTTTTTCCCCCCTTTTTAGTTGAACAGTGTCTGTGAAGAAACATTTGCTTTAATTCCTGACACATGGCGTTTAGTTTACACTGAAGGCAGCTGCTCTGTGAGCTTGAGCCAACCATCTTCTAGACTCACAGCAATCCATCCAGATTGTCACATATATTTTTAGTTTATGATGATCTTCTAATACAATTCCAGCTTCCACACAGAATCCTTCCAACAGTCTAATGACTAGCTCAGGTTAATGAACTTCAGAACAACTAACTGGCCACTAATCTTCAGGAAGTACCCTTCCTCTCTGTAACATATGTAATGTCAATCAGTGCCCTGAGCTCAAAGGAGGTGTGGTCATGCTGCTCCAAAATAATCAGGCCCAAGAACAGAAATAAAATACAAAACCTAAAAGCTAATCTAACTTCCTTCTTTTCCTCTGCTCAAGTAGGAGTTTTGTCCAAGGACGAAAAATTGTTTCCTTTAGTTAAATATTTCTGTTAGGCATCAACATGCTGCAAAACTTCCTCAAAACGATCAGACCCAACATAAATAAGGCAAATGAACTCAGAGAAAAAGTCTGAAGCCGAAGCTGCTTTCCCACCTTGGCTTCAGCTAGGAAATTTCTCCACTGTGTTAATTATCACCTGCAAGACCAGCTAAGGAAGGAAGCTATGTACACATTTTGTGGGACTGGGGTATTTCCACCAGAAGAAAGGAGCTATTATTTGCCCCATGCAGGACTGGGAGGTGCCTGGTTGAAGAGGGCCAAGGGCCAGGCTCCATCCTTCCTAGACCTCCCTGTGGAACCCATTAATTCACATCAAGCATGGGTGAAAACTGCCAAAAAGACAAAATGTGGATTTGCTGGTGTCCTGCCATCTTTGCCAGAGAGAGGCAGCTGGACGTAACTGGCACATGTGATGTCACGTCTGCGAAATGAGGTGTCACCTCCTTGCAATTGGTCAGATTTAGTGGAGCCTATAAAACAGATTGCTCTGAAGCTACTGTCTGAAAGAGGAAAACCTGGAGCCAATTTACTAAACATAATTTATTCCAGGCTCTTTGTTACAATAAACAGAGCTCTTCAGACTTCTCCAATACACAACCAGTAGGAAGCTTTGCATTCATGGGAGGTTTTTTTTCATTTGTTCAGCTAAACCTATCTGAATGCAAAATCTTGTATTCACAAATACTGGGAAGATGTTTGACCTCCCATGGCATCATGAAATCTAGAACTGAAAGGATTGTGACCTATCCTCAAATACAGATCTTTTTTTAGCAGTAGTTTTTGTAACCCAGTTGAATTCTGCAACAAAAACCTCTCCTGGACTGGAGGATTATTTAAAACCTGTTTCTCATGCTAGTTTTCCATGGCCATTTTAAAATTTGGCATTTTGTACTCCACTGAAGAGAATGATGAAAACAGCCTGCAGCAAATACAATTAGTCAAATTGTATGCTGAATCTAAGAGCAACATTAAAAATTGCAAATAACCACTGAAAATTTAGACCAGTCTTTGAGTTGGCTCATGTTGTTTATAAAAAGTAATAATAGAATAGAAATACATCTGATAATCACTATCGATTTAAAATTAGGCTGAGTAAGTCACGAAGGTGATTTAATTTGAATATGTAAATTCCAAAGGCTGCTCCCAAAGTAATGCCTCCTATTTTATTATGTGGATGCACAATGTCAGAAGTGGATATTGGTGGTATGGCAGCAGAGCTTGAACCTTTCTGACAAAATTCTGTTACCTTGTATTGCTGTGTGACACATGGCAGCAAAGAGGCAGTATGTATGAAGAAAAGGTGTGTCACTAAATCCCTCTATGCAGAAAAAAATTGCACTTGCAATTTATCACCACTTGCTAAATGTTTATGAAGACCAAACAATGAATGTGAACACAGTGAGGCAGTGGGTGGTGCATTTCAGCAGCAGCAACAGCAATAGTAGGTCATCTCTGCTGGTGCTGAGTTTTATAGGTGCAACAGGAGGGCTGTTGTTCGTAGCTGGCAAAAATGCATAGCTAATGATGATGACTGTGTTGAAAAATAGTGTTTTGTAGCTGAGAATTTGCCCAAACTATCAAATACTGCTATTGTGCTCTTTGTATCTGCTGTAATTTCCATTGACATAAATAGAAGGCATTACTTCTGGAGTGACTCACGTATAACCCTTGATACTCATGCTTTTTCTTCTTCTCTTCAGCTATCCTTGTCCAAGATTTTTTGCATTTTATTTCTTTATGGAGTGAGAAGAGAATGAAAGATGTTCCTTGTCACCATTAACCACATAGCGTGAGTGCACTGCTAGACATATTGCTTTAAAGGATTTAAAGCTTATTAGCTGCAAAAAGAAACAAAAAGAATTCATCTGCAATTCAAATGCATTGAAAGATATATTATCTGTTCGCATGAATGCATATTTGACTACAAATTTTAACTACAAATATATAAAGTTCTTTCCTATGAATTTTCTTGCATATATCTTACCTGTAAGCTATTGCATGTTTGCAGGAAGAATATTAGTATGGCTATGTACCATGTACTTCAAAACTGTACTATAATTACGGGCTTGATATTGAGCATTCTCTGTTAGTAAGGCAGAAAACTACAAACATACATGAGTCAGATTAATAATTCACTAAATAAAAGAGACAAAAAGTACATCTCCAGACTGACTGAAAATCCTGAACTTGCTTTTCAAATAACAAAGATGACATTGATCCAGAACACAATGTAACTTTGCTCTTGCACATTTAAGATAGACTGTCTGTTGATATATTATTTGGCAGAAGAGGCTTTTCTCTTCATTGTGAAAAGTCAGCTTAAAGCTAACTCCATCCAAGAACTGGTAAACAGCTTTATTCATCACTATTTTCTCATTTATTAAGTAGCTTTTGTGCAGCTTATAGTGCAGTGAATGTTCTCTTCCAGGATTTAGAAAAATACTTTTTACAAAAAAATGATCGAAATCACATCACTTCCTGAAAATAGCAGTAATTCCTGAATAAAAAGACACTTGTACAATCAAAAACTAGCCTACAGTGGGTGACTTTTATTTTTATTTTTATTTTTTTTTAATCACGGTTTTTAGTATACCTGGTTTAGATAAGGTTTTGTCATAAAGTAGACCTTAATATTGTTAAAGATCCAGTGAATCGTAATGACCACAGAATCATATAACAGTTAAGGTTGGAAAAGACTCTGAGATCATCTAGTCCAACTCCACAATCCAGATCATAATGAGTTTTACAAATCTTTACAGGCTTTATCTTTACTGAGCTCCTTACAGGATTTATACCCTATCCATTCAACACCAGTAACTCAGAAAACAAGAAAAATCACTGCTCTCATTCCCACACAACAAGTGCCTAGTAATGCTAAATATCATTAAGGGACTGAGAAACAAGGAGGATGAAAGTGAAGGAATGAAGAGGTGACCAAAAAAAAAAAAAAAAAATCAAAAACTATTCTAATTGCTCAAAACCATGACAATACATACATTTCTCCAATGGTGCAAAATAGGTCTGAGGGTTATGTTAAAATTTTAATTTATTAAGATAGAAATAATCTGAAGCTAGATTAAAAATGGAAACTGAAAAAGTGACAAAGATTGAAGGCAATCATTATATATTTTTTTGTTTTTCTTCATTTTTCTGAATATAGGGCTAAGTGAAGCTAGTCTGCTGATGGAAGCATTTACAAAAGGCGTGTAGGCTCTTAGGAGATAAAAACTGCTAAGAATGGGTAACCTTAATAGAATGGTTTGTTTCACTCTGCTTCGAAGGGCTCCTCTGACCCTGAACTTTACTACAGGGCACTTAAAATTATATGTATAGGAAATGAGCACTTTATCCTCAGAAAATATGGGAATACTTTGCAGGTCAATGTCAGTGGGGTCATGATTACACCCAAAGATTTCACGTAGGCTTACAGAAGTAATCCTTTCAGAATGAGACTGATACATAGCAATGCACATAGATATGCTATATATCATTTAAAACAGTGATTCTGAGAAGTATTATCTCAGGCATTGTGCCTTCTGGACAAGTAATGAATTGATAATAAAACAAATGCTACTCTCTAACCCTAATTCTTTGTATATTGTGTCTCCTTGAAAAAAAAAAAAAAAAAAATCAGATCAATTGTTTTACGTTTTACTCCATTATCTAGTAAAGGGAATGGGATGGACAGCAACTTGTCATCTGATAATAATACTGCAGTATTGCAATGAGGAGACAGGCAGATTAGAACAAA